GTCACTAGTCTGCTCTAAGCTGTGGAGGGACGGTACTTAGTTTGGGCTTTTGAAAGGGCTCTTGCCCTTGTGAAGTGCGTTAGACAAGTGCTCTGCTGAGCTAGGTCCCCGGCCCTCAGGTACTTCTGGAGACCCAGTAGACCTCACACTGGATGCTCTTAGGACGGGTCCTGTGCTCAGCCGTTGGGAAACAAGCACACTTGAGCGTCTCCTCCGCCCACATCCCCATGCATACGGCTTGCTCACAACCCCTGCCAAAACCCACAGAGTGAAACCAGCTCACCTTTCTTCAGAACTTGTGAATTATATAATACACTAACTTGCCTGACCACAGAATGCTCGAGAACATCTAATACACATTTAGTCACAGGGAAAAACATCAGCTCAGAATGTTGTTTGTGTTCTCTGGCTCCTAAAGTTGACCTGGCACCGAGTGGCCACTCAGTTGCTCTTTGAAAAAAAAGCCTCCGTTGTTTCCTGGTGACCCTGAGAGGACTTGGGTTAGGTACACATCAGTTGATCTTTCCCCAGGCTCAGGGCAAGGGAACTTGACTACAGAGCTTCATACATTGATTCTCTGGACTCTCTGTGGAGGCTGAGCATCTCGGAAGATCAAGGAACAAGAAAGACACCAGGGAGAGCCACCACCTTGGCTATCCCAGAACAACAGCCACCTACGGGTGCTCAGAGTGCCCACCCTGCCTAGAGTGCCCACCCTGCCTAGAGTGCCCACCCTGCCTAGAGTGCCCACCCTGCCTAGAGTGCCCACCCTGCCCGACACTATTCCAGGTCACAAGGCAGCTTCTCATGACGGCTTTTTTCCTTGTCTCCAGAGACCAATCCTCTGAGCTCAGATGACATTATTTACAGAGGCTTTAGATGGGTACCTGGAGGTCATCCTCACAAGCCGGAGAGTCACTCTTCCAGCCCTGTAGACAACCGAACAGCAGACCTGCCTCAGGGAGCCTCTCCCAGGCCTCAGGAATGGCTGGATTCTCTTTGCTTCCAAGGATACCTTGCAGGGATCTTCATTAGCAATAGGCTTTGGGCAATGTGGTTGGAGTAGAGACTTAGAGAACACCAGAGGAGCCAAAGGATTGGAGGTGTCCCTGTCACGGGAGCTAGAAGAGACTAGAACTGCCTCTTCCATTCACATTCCCACTGGCAGGTGGAGAAATTGAGACCCAGAAAGAAAGGGGCCATTAGAGTCGCACAGCGCGATCATACTGTCCCAGAGTCCACATTCTGGTCAGTTTATACTTTTTCAGGAGTGTTGAGGGCCATCAGGACAGCTCTGAGCAGGGTACTACTGAGGAGGTAACGGGGATGACAGACAGGCCTCATGATTCCCCTGGATTCATTGGTAGGGCAGGTAACAACATACCCCAGCAGCCCTTGGTAGGGGTCAACAGAGTAGAGGTGAAGTAATGCAAGGCTATGGTGTGACCCTGTTGAACTCAGCCAACGAGTGTGGGATGAAGTCCCAACCGTGGCACACTGTGGTTATCAATCCTGACAATCGGTTATATTGTCACTTCTAACAATGTGACATTGTGGCTATCTAAAGCATCTGGTATTTGTGGTGTTGTCCCTGTAACCAGGGGCTTGGGAACATGGCCATTTGTGATAAGTGTTTGTGTCTCTGAGGACTTGTGGCCTGAGATTGTGTATGTATTCAAGAGCTGACCAGTCTTGTGCCTGTGAATATAATCAGCAGGTTATTCTAAAAGGAAACTGGCCATAAGACCTTTCACACCTGAATTGTTACTTTAGAGTTGGCCAGCAATTTTCCGCCTGCTAAGACACAGGCCGACTGTGGGAAACTGTTCTTGAAACACAGTTACCCAATATGAAGGGAATTATATAA